GTCGACAAATGTGGCTGGCTCTGCATAGGTTGCAACAATTTAGAACTTGACCTGACAATTCAAGGCCATGCACTTTTACGACTGGAATCTGTATTGGACCTAGGACTGAAATACTCACATGACTTATCATTTTCTGAACATATCTCCAAACAAGTGTCAAAGTCACGCAGACTTATCGGCTTTCTACTCAGGAACTTTTACAGAAATGAGTCCAGAATTCTGTTGTACAAGGTTTGTGTGCGTCCTTTATTTGATTACTGTTCATTCATGTATAGTAGTATACGCATAGAGGACAAATTGAAAGTCGAGGGAGTGCAGAGGTACTTCACGTCAAAATTACTCGGAACCGAAAATGGTGCGAACTACTCCACTAGATGTGACACCCTAGGATTAGAAACACTATGGCTAAGACGCCTGAGACTAAACTTAACACTTTACTATAAGCTTCTAAACCACTTAGTTTTTACCTCTACTAATGGCATTCGACTTTCAGATGACAGTGTCTACAAACTAAGACACACTAAGGGTACAGTAGCTATTGAACAATGTAAAACAGCTACCAGGCAAAAGTTTTATTTGATTAGGTATGCACAGATATGGAATAAACTACCAATGGAAATGCGTCAAGCAGGTACATTGGCTTCCTTCAAAAAAGTGCTTAACGACAAACTACACGAGTTTGCAAACGACAGTAGTCTTAGTTCCTATCTGAGAGCCTCCGAAATTATAGGTCCATTTAATGTATAAGCTTAAATACTACACCTGTTGTTTTTGCCTATATTTATAATTTTAGATAAAACATTAACGATTAAGATACTTACCCTCAAACAGACAAGAAGTTTCGTTTGTAAAACTTCTACCCAACACAATAAGTGGAATAAAATGGACATAAACTGACAACATGAAAAAGGTTATAACTCACCACAACATCACATGGACAGATGTACGCTCGTCGGACATCATATATGCATCACCAACTACAACCCAACATTCCTGAGATAATGTGATGAACTTATATCCATAATGTTGCTGAGCAGTCAATATCCACAACTCCTGTCGGAACAACTAAAATTCAAAAACCTTCCTCACGAGAAGTAAATATCCACAAGCAGTAGAAATCCATTAATTAATGCGTCTAAAGCTTATGTATTTTACTCCCAACAATGACATTGCACATCAAATGAGATAAACATATCACTGATTTCAAAATAACACATCAATGAACTATAATTCAAGGATTCTGCACACAACAAAGTATTGTACGAAAATTGACTTCAAGCTTTATTTTTTTCCCAGGCACTTATAACCCATCCACCAAAGACCTGGTTTTTTTGTTAATGCGAAGACAATACTTCTGTATTTCCTGATGTGTTGCACTCACTGAAAATCTAGCGGATTTTTCCAACTATGCACAGAAATGATTGTACATAAGTGAAAAGGATGTTTTATACTATTCGGATTAACATTTATCAAGTGTACGTATAATCTCCAGTGTACATGTTAAACATATTTTGCTATCGACTGTAAATTGTGACTGAATAATATGATCCTATTTCTGTAACAATTTGATGATGCCTGTAAACTGGCGTCCCTCATGTACTGTATCATGAGAATAAATTTATTTATTTATTTATTCCTATACTTCATGATGTGCTCCATTGAATGACTTGTTATATTGTGGAATAACTTCAAGCTTTATTTTTTCCCAAGTATTTTTAATCCATCCAAAACATACTTGGGTTTTTTTGTTAATGCGAAGTTAATATTCCTATATTTCATGACGTGCTCCATTGAATGACTGGTTATCATATTGTTCCCACAGACCTAAGACAAAAACGCCAGCAACCATGTAACTTAACCATGAACCAAATTTATGAAATTTATATAATGCTTATCCATGCCTGTATATTTGGTGTGTCCTACACAAGTAGGAAAAAATGTGTATTTTATTAAAACATTATTATTAATTATGATTGCTAATCGTATATGTAATTTATCATATTGATGATGCCTGTAAACTGGCGTCTCTCATGTACAAAATGAGAATATACTATTATTATTATTATTAATTATAGATATTAGTTAGTGTTAAATTACCCCAAAATGCCAAATAGATAGCTATAGGTACTATAAGTCAAGGAGATTATATTCGCAGATTCAGTGTTTGAAAGCCGAACAATTACGATAAGATCCACAACTTTCTGGTAAGAAACGCCAGGGAAATAACAGTTTTATGTAGCTGAGCAAATGTAGTGTACTAACCGAAAAGCACGTTGAGATCAAGATCGGGAAATATAATACTGGTGATTTACGTAAAAGCCCTACTTGAAGATCTAGACCCTCCGTAACTGGATGACGATGTACCACGATTTTTCAGTAGCGGCTTAACACGATTCCAAGATTATTGTAAGTCTAACCTGGAGAGAACTGTTTTCCTTTCATTTCGTATACACTGGCAGTCTGTCGAAACCTTTGCTCGGTTAAAGCATGTCACCATCATTCTTAAGATCTCTGCGAATCTTTAAATGAACAATATGTAGTAGTCAAGTATGAGGCATGTTGCTGGGTAATTTAGTGTGGTCTGCGGAAAAAATGTTCTAGGATTTCATGTTATCTCTGAAAGTGGCCTAGCTCTCTCATCATGGAAAAGGTAGTCAAACGAAAGAGGTTTTCCCAAAACCCGTGACGCGCGTTGAGTAACAAGATATGATACTCTTCTTGATCAGCCTTTTCAACATTTCGCTTGTGTTTCAAGTAGGCTTAATGGATTACCATCTCAACTTTTTGATCACGCAATAACACTCCGTCAGCCAGCTTTCTGGGTTGCTTTGACAACGCATGAGCCATGAGATTTGACCACATGTTGGCCGAACCTATGCTTTTTTCTTACGGCGCCAACAGAGACGATGCCACATATGGTGATGACCTTGGTTTGAAGACCCTGACCAATAATTTATCGCTCACGCTTGATCCTACTCCTCCTTGAATACGTCTTTGTCGGAAATAAATTTTTCGGTGCAACCGTCTTTCAAAAATTTTCCCTGATCCAAAGTTCCATGTGAGAAAATGACTCCTTGCAGCTCCTGCTATTCGAGTCAGATGAATTTCCGTTCTCATTCATGTCTGATCGTTCGCTTTGTGGGTGCATAACGTAGACTTCTGGCGGCTGCTCTCGTGTCCTAATGGACCGTGAATCTTGCATATGGAAAGAGTTATTATCACACTTTAGTTGCAGCCTGTGCAATGAAAGTTTGAGTTATATGGTTGAATAATTGCTCGAAATAAATTCATGTAGCCTAAAATTGAGCTCCCAGTGGCATAATCCAGTCTACTACAGCGATGCAGATGCGACAACATTTATGTTTACTTTCCAAACTTTTGGTTGGGTTATATTTTATTCCTGAATACTGCAGCAGCATTGAACTCCAATCTGATGAATTCTTCTGGAAGTGGAAAATGTTGGCTGAGAGACCCGTGAGTGACAAAAGATAAACCAATTCTATGAAATACCAAGAATCCCAAAGTGTGGACTACACTATATGCTGGATTAGAGCAAGTGATCTAAAGTTCTCTTTAAGTTACGGTCGAAAGTACTGTTGAAAAGTTTTCTCGTGTGACCTCTTCAAGTGACTGGTGGATAATTGAAACTGACTAATAGGCACCCATGCCTTGATGTCTCCAGACTGAATTCCTTTAACTGAACGTCACAACCCTCGCAGATTCGAGTAGCATACATTATGATGAAATTGGTGGCTCGTTCTTTGCCGTTCCTTCAGGGGAGTATGGGTTTATATAATCAACTTGCGTGCGCAAATCCTTCTGTGTAATTAGATAATCCCCTCCCTTGTGACTTAATCCGCCCATTCTATGAAGTATGAGCATGTCAACTTTAGTGTCTCTGATCTGTGCTGCCAGTGATGATTCCGTTCATGCGTTTGTTTAATAAATAGCGTGTAGCATTCTATAAGCGCTATGAGCTCTCCAGCTACTGGTGTTTGGAGGTCACCAAACCTAGAAGCTCTCACCACTCAATAACTTTTATTTATATGGTCTTACCCGACGTTTCGGCGTCCTTTGATGTGGTCTGGTAGGCACGGGTCTTCCTGGGTGTGGATTTTTCTTTCTTCAAGAATATGAACATTGTTATTGCAGCTATCTTGACCTAAGAGCCCACAAATAATTTGGGAAGATATGTCTAATGGCTTATTCCACAGCCAGTTTTTTCCTTGATCCTCTGCGGAATTTCAGAAGCAATACCTACCAGTACCACAGGAAGCAACTTTTCAACAGTTAGTCTGTAATTTCCGAATATGTAACCGATTTCGGCCGCAAAGTTGGGTTCACTTTCCTGAAAGAAAGTAGATCATCGGGTAAGTTAGGTTTACTGCTGATGGAGTTCTTGCTACGAGATCCTTACTACACTGTAGCCTTCACACTGCATTTAGCATCAGAATAGCATCATGTCTTTGAGCAACTAATGTGAAGTGGGTGTGCAGTGATGCTTGCATGTCGCAGGACTCAGGTCAGTGCACTTCATGTAGAACCGCCGGTTACAATGACTAACTACATGCTGTCATCCGAAATACACAAAAGAACTCTTCATGGTCAGCCATTCAATAAACATGATGTTGGTGGAAAAAAGTGATAGCTGTGGAATAAAAAAGTGAATAAACAACCATGTAAAAAGCAGTTACTAAAAAAACAAAAAGAAAACCTGAAATACAAAGATACACGGTTAACCAAAAAATGCCACAAGAAATCCTGTGAAAAAATTACTGATAAAAGTAACCCCAGGTGAAACATTTATAGGTTTCGTAGTCAGTAACTCAAGAAATGCTAGAATTGAACAACACAGTGTGAAAAAACACCCTTCTTTCGGGGTTTTAGATACAGATGCACTATTCACTTTCGAAGGAATCTTTTGCAAATGTCTCTGTACCTGTTTGTCTAAAGCTCCAGTTGTCTTGTTTAATTGTTCCTAATTCTTCTTAACCTTGAGAGTTCATTTTTGGACCCAGGTATCGACCGCAAATGCTACTACCGCTGGGTTTGAATTTTCTTTGATTTTACATGATATGAGTAGCGTGCAATGTGTTGATCAGAAAAGCAGGTAAGTGTACATATTCTTCTATTGACGACATATTTTTAGTGGTAGTGACAGTAGCAGTACTGGAGAAGAAGAGAGGCTTAAACAATTGTTTTTAAGCTGTGATTCTAATAATGATGGGTGTTTGAATTGCGAAGACTTATATGATATGTGTAGGAAACTGAATATGGCAGAGTGCGCCGAGGAAATTATCAACACCTTAGGCGCAAATACAAAGGGAAGCATAACATTCGATGAATTTCTCAGTTGCCGAGAAAAGGTGTTTCAAATGCAAACTGAAGCTGATACAGTGTATTTTACAAAGTCCAACTCGACGCAACATCAAAACTTCAAACAGTGTGGAACAAACTGGCCTGCTTACACACACGATAGGTCACTCGGGAGAAATCAAAAATGTGTTGATGAAAGAAGTAGTAACCCTTTTCATAAATTGCATGAGAATACTAATCTTGGAAGTTCTGCCAGTGAGACTAGTCTTGGCAACTCAGGTAAATATTTTGACTATTCAGAAACTTCATGCATATCTAAATGCTTGTTTTTTAGTCCAACAGTAAAATGTATCGTAGCTTAAGTTTATAACAATTATTAAGGGTTTTCCTATAGAAATGTATTTCTTATATTCTAAATTTTAGCTGTGGTCAGTATCTCTAAAATTGTGGCACAAGAAGTTTAAACTTTAGATTTCATTCGTACAACTGTTTTGAAGTCATGAATTGATTTCTTATGGTTCTCATTTTCATAATCTTTTGGGATTCTGGAATATCTAGTAGTTATCGCTACTATAATAGTTAGTTTTCCATAATCTTGAACTATTCAATAAACCAGACATCTACTTTATTCATTCTCGATAAACAGAAGCACCTTATCTTCAAGAGAACAATGCACGAAAATTATATTTGGTTATCGGATGTTAAACCAAGTGCCTAACTGTTTGAAGTACAGTTCATTTAATGCTGGAACTATATGATTCTAGTTTAAATCCTGCTTCATATTAGGGATTAACTAGTTTGCATGTTATATCTCACGATAACAATAATGTTAAGATGCATGTGGAGTCATTATCGTGTGAAATTAATTTCTTTCTAGTCATACTGTTGAGGTCATCTACCAGTCTTACGCCAGAAATATTATCCAACTAGGTTTTCATTTACGTGATGCTTTTAGCTACTTTTCTCATTTCGGAGGAAATTTCGTAATGTCTTGATAGTTTTAAATGCATTAAAGATACAGTTGCATATTATGTCCCTGCAATCTGTAATCAGCCATTAAAACTACAAATCTTAAAGTATAATCTTTACTAATATGCTTCATATAATGTCCGTTACTCTTGAACTGACGTTCGCAAAATTTACCCCCAAGTGTATATGAACTACGATTAGTGTTAATAACACTAGCTCTCTGGAACTACCTACCACTTGTCTAAACAGCCTTTTGAAAAAAATATCTGTTGAATTTGGAAACTTGAATCTAACGAAAAACTTAGCTCTATTGGTACAGTCTAGGTTTCTTAGTACAATGGGAATTCCAGATACTCTACACAGTTGTCTAAATGTCCATATCTCAAGTAGGATTTGAAGTATTGAACCAATGGTTCAACTCATATACTAACTATAGTACTAAACATGATTCCCTTAAGTTTAGAATAAAACATTTTTTATCGTAGGACTCAATAGCTTGGTAAAGCTACTAAGTAATTTAGTATTTCTCATACCTTAAACTACAGCTTAAGTATAATGTACTGTAAGTATGGTGTTTTGTTTAAGTTCAGTTACCTGAGACAGATTTTTCATGTACCACGCTAATAGCCTCACTTATTGTATGAGAGATGATAACACTACTCAATAGGTGGAGTGGGACTCAAACGTGTGATAAATCAACTGAAATAGGAGTCCTTAGGACAATGAACCACATCTCCGCATAAGTCTACTATCATTTTGGTAAGTCCTTGTTAGATCATACATATCCGGTTGATTAATTAGTCAGTTAGAAGTGACGCTAAAATGATTTTCATTTGTCAGACAATGACGGATGCTTGTTATCTCCAGTTGCCTAGACTGAAATAAATGGATTATTATTGCAAACCAGGGTCTGTTAACTGAAATTTAAGTGTTTAGACTTACATCTTCGTTGGATTCTAAACATCTTATTTTGAATTGTAGTATCGGTGGCACAGAGGTTAGGACTCTCGTCGACCATGCACATGGTCCGGGGTTCGATCTCCGGCCACAGATGCACTCCTTTACCTCGCCGAATCAGTAATAAAGATGGTAAAGAGGAAAGGTTGGGTATAAGGCTAGCTAATCCCATACTGCTACAGAAACTTCAAGCCTCTAGGTCGAAGCTGTTTTCCACTGGGAATGTGGAGGAATAAAAAGAAAGTGTGTGAAGGAAGAGATTAAATGACGTTGGAAATTTCCTGCTTAATTTATCAACAGTTATAGGTTTAATAGGTAAAGTGTGTAATTAATTGTTTCTACCTTTACTATTATCAGATAAATTCAATGTTTTGTATTAGTTATTTTTTGAATTCTCCTTATTTTTGATATATTCAGGTGCTGAATACGATTCAGGAGCTCAAGATCTTTGTGGTGAACCACAAAGTTTACACTTATTACTGCAACGTGATTTTGCTGATTTATACAATATTGTATTCCCATTTCTAAATAATACGAATGTTAGTAATAATCCGTATAAAAGAGAAAGTCACACAATTCCAGATGATTCTATCTTATTACCTAAACCTAATGCAATCGAAAATGGAGAAGATAATATTAATAATAATAATAATACAACTAAAAGTTATACAAATAAAGAATTGATAAATACAATAAATTTTCATTCAAAGGAAAAATTGAATAACCATGTTAAACCTATAAAAATGGAATTATCTAATGTACAATTAACAAGTGAATCAAATCCTTATTTAACTCATGTTCGAAATTTATTTGAATGTGCTAATACACTACATATTCAACGAACAGCTCAATTACGTTCTGAAATCCGGGATTTATCACATAGATTACAAGGTTTACAGGTTAGTTGAAACTTTGAAAATATTCTTAGGTCAGATGATTGGGCTTTTGGAGTATTTACGCCCCTCTGAGATGTCTGATTTAATTAAGACGCTTTCATTGTAATTTTAGACGGCGTTTTCAGCGCTTACCTCACTATGAAGTCTCCACCTCGATATTATACAAAATAGCGTTTTTCATGTGAACAATTGTGAATTTAAGTTCCGTTTTGGAAGTGTTGGATTCTTGCATCCTGCCTATTATTCTCTATTGTTCCCCCTTAGTTTTTGTCCAGGGCTACTGAAGAAAGATTATACCTTATTACGCAGGATGTTAAAGGTTGTCAGCAGGGTAAGCAACGTGTTACTTAACCAGCTTTTTAATATTCTGGCTGACAGGCGCATGGAATCATGTGGAAAATGGGCTAAATCCATTTTATCTAACTCACACCACCCTCTTCATTTACAACTCTCTCCTTGTATCTCATCAGGTCAGACCAGACCAGAAGCCTATATAGGAAACTATATGCTCGCACTAGTAAGTACAAAAACTCAAACATACCCTACCTATTTAGCTCGTGTTCTGTGCGATAAAGAAAGCACTAGGCGTGATATCTATAACTTATTAAATAGTCAGTAGAACAACACCTGGATCTCGTCTTTCCAACTCGTATCATTTATAGGTACAACGTTTTATTTCTTCCTTTTTCCTTTTCTCTCTCCTTATTTCTCTGTTATGTTCTGCTTTGTTTCTTTCTTCTGATTACGCCAGAAAATATGCTAGTATCTACTTTTCTAACACCTTCAAATACTCTGTTCAATTTTTGGCCTTGCTACCGACATGCCAATATATTGTTGTCATAATGAACTGAGATTACCTTAATCTGATAATGTACTAACTGGATGCAATAGTGTAGTAAAATGCTGAGAATTCCATTCTGTATCACAAGTACTGTTTTGGAATAAAGTAAATTATTATTATTTAAAAACAAGCAAGGCATAAATACCATTAAGGCTGTAAGAGTTTTATAATTAGGCTATCAGTAAAATTTTCCGACTGTGGTAATATAGAATTCTATACTAGTGAGTGATGTATCACACAGTGCGATAGTGTTATCCAGTCTTTAGAATCCTGAATACAATTTAATGTTCATAATCACATTAAAAATAACTGAATACCTTCGAAACTTGGTCTTCACACAATTGCTTCCTCTTTTTAGTTTATTTTTTCATAAGGGTAATTGAATTTTACAAATATATACAGAGGATATTAAATCATTCTTATTACATGTGACCAACAGATATGAAAAACAATTCTCCTGTCAGCCGTCTCTCCCATTTGTTATTTGATGACAGTTAGGGAACCATTGGAAACCAGAAAATACTGGACAGCTGAATGTTTCGTCCTATTTTGAGACTCTTCAGTGATGCACATCCACCAGCATTCGAACCCAGGACCTACCGGTTACAAGACAAGCTAGTAAACCATTTAGCCATTCGGTTTCAAGTGGGGCATATGAGCTTCAGCAGCACATCTCCATTTCACTCTGAGGTTAGCTTTTAACTGGCTCCACTACCATTCACAAGCTTTCATTTCCTTCTCATATGATTTTTTTCCATGTCAGCCTCGGACGCACACTCGCCACCCATTCTGTGTTAAGTTTAAAAAAACCCAACAAGTCTGTCTTCATCAAGTGGGTTTGTACATTGAAGTAAGCACTGAAGGTGGTTCTCAAAAGGACAATGAGAACTTCACAATTCAATCTTCCAGCTCATAGAACCCAACCACATCAATAAAAATATCCAAGTTTACTGGCAATCTTCACCACACTGGTATTTTACGGGTTGCAATTTGTTGACCATTACTTTTTAATCCACAATAACTCTGTCGGCTACCTAACCCAATTTTCATTATTTTATCCCCCATAAAACTGATTAAGAAGCCGACTGCATGCATTACATCAATATGTTTGCTTAATTATTAAGTGTTAAGTTCACAACCTATCCTAACTACTTTTGTTTGCGGATTCGGATAGTGTAGAGGGCAAGTCAGTCGGTGAGGCTGTAAAGCTACATCAGTTTAGATGACTATGACATGTGTTACACATCCCAAGCTATAGCCTTCCTCATTGAGCAATGTTAGGTGGTTAAATCAAAATATGGGGTCAGCCCATAGAGTTTTTAACTGTTGGTTTGAGCTACATACTGGGGTGTAGACACTGTCTGTCTGGGATCATTGGGTTTCTAAGAATCAATGGCTGCAGACTGACAGTGATATGGTTCAAAACAGTTGTCAATGCCGCAGACAAATTTACTCGTTGTAGTCTCTAAGATCCACTAAGTCCTCATGTTTGTCCATATGGCTACTCCTTCTTCCCTACGTTCAGACTGATTAAAATTCTTATGAATTATTCCTTCTCTATCCCTGTGTGCTATATAGAGTGTGGCATTCTGAGCTACTGTTTTTCTATACAAATTTCTACTTGGAAAACTCAACATTGCATAGTATCACAGACTCTCACGCGATAAGTGTAATTCATAGCCCTGTATATATATATATATATATATATATATATATATATATATATATATATATATATATATATAATAGTAATATGCTATGTTTCATCTTCTGTCTTTCAACATGTGATGATCCTAGGTAAAGGATTTGAGAAGCTTGAAAATAATCATATATCGATGCCGTTTTGACATAACTATTGTTTGGTGTTTTAGCACTGGTTTGGAACGGGACTTAATGCATTTTATTATTATTGGAGCTAGCTAGAATGGTGGTCAGATTACAACCTGACTGGTAGAATTCAGTCTACACCAATCAGAGGACTAGACGCATCACACTAGTTACTAGTGTCAAATCAAAGTAACAGTAGTCGTTTGGTTCGAAGTCAGTTACACGAAACAGATCATTCAGGCACCAGACTAGAGGGCATACAATTCCCTTGTGATTGCTGATGACACTACGTAGTTGGAATGATTGAATGCTATTCCAACTCGAGACTACTTATTGGCAGGTAGTCGAGTACTTGGGCCAACAAATGACACCTCTAGAATAAAGGTAGGAGTAACAGTAGTATTTCAGGTTCTTTTCGAGTGACTTAAACTTCATCGACTGGTAATGTTACCTGACATAGCGTCAAGTTGAAAAAGATCTAGTGGTGGCCAAACCAAAATATGGCTTCATCAGTCCATGAAATCCATAAGAGTTAGTTTAAGCCAGCCAGCTATGTAGGGAAATTTCGGGGTCCCCGAGATGATAAGAACCAACGAAGGCTGAATAAAACTGGTGATACAGTTCAAAGTCGCCATTCTGAATGCCTGGCACAAATGCATTCACTCTTTGTCATTTGTCATATTATCCAATAAAATTCTATTGTTCTTCCTTATTACTATTCTTTTTCCCTTACTCTCTTCTCTTGCTTTGTTTGCTACATGGAAGGGGAGTGGCAACTCTAACTGGCACACATCTGTGCTAAGTTCTATGTTGAAATCAGTCAGTCAGACCTAGACTTAAAGTAGCTCTGTGATGTAGTGCTTATATTTGTTTATGTGCTTATATTTTCTAGATTTAGTATCCACGACAAATCCTTTTTAAGAATGTTAAATGAAGCCAATAGCAAATCTCATTAGTTGATAAGATTTGAATTAACTGTTGGCTTTATATTATATTAACAGAGTCCTAACATAAAGCAGTTAAAGGCTATTTAATTCAGTATTACTTATGGATTTATGAGTCAATGGTTCAAAGGGTAGAATGCTTGTCAGCCAAGTGGGAAGTTAGGATCTGATTCCTGAACGTCGCACTTGGTTTTCTAATCAGTAGTAAGTCCGAAAAAGAGCAGAACTTGATGGTGAGTATAGGCAATCTCACTCCTAAAAATAAAATACCACCTCTACAAAATCTTCAAAGTTTGAATTTTGAAGCTCTATGTTCCAGTTGGAACACAAGAAGTGGTATCTCTTTACGATTTCGGATTGTTTCGTGTGCATTTCGGATTGTGAGGGCGATTGTTACTTCCCGGCTGCCCACACCGTGGAAGTTGGTTGCGTGACCGCAGAGCCTAGGGGACAACTGCTTGAGGTCGGTCACACGCGGCCTGCTTTTCTTTGTTCGTTATTGTTTTGTGTGTCTCAGTAGCATATTTATCACTTCTGCCCTGTGACACGGCAGTAGGAAGCGCGGTCGTTGTTAATCCGGGCCCCGACCGATTCGGCATGATATTTTGTGAGTTTGTATGTATCCATGGTGTTGGATTGGGTAGCTGCTTTTTGTCTAACCGCTATCCAGACAACCCTTCTGGTATGGTAGGACCTCAAGCGACATAAGTCTCAGCCAGTATAGTTTGTTGGGACATTGCGGTGTTCAAGCCCGACCACCACGTCAAGGTAGCAGCTTTCGATCGGGCATGGCTCAAAATCGTTCTCAATGGCTGGCCCGTGCAGATGCATCCACTCCTTGTGACTTATGATTTCCAATGAAAATGTTTCGTCCTTCGTTATTACTCTTCCTTTGTCTCACACCTCTGTTTACTGTCTCTCTATTGTGCATTTCCTGTACTTTCTTCTCTTGATTTGTGTGCTACAAGGAGTGGAGTGTGGCGACTTGAACTGCGGCACATTTGTGCAAAGTTCCATGTCGAAGACAGACAGACAGGTGGACAGTGAGATCTCTTTACGATTTACTCTCATATCTCTTCCTTATTCTTCTCCTTTGTTTCTATTTGCTGTTTAGACAAGTCGAGATATGAGTTATCGAGAAATTCAACGTTTACAAAAAGAGAAAGAACAATTACGCAATGAATTAACTAATCAAATATCACGTTATGAAGATCGTTTAACTGAATTACACAGTGTAATCGCTGAGCTGCAACGTCGATTAAAGCAGTCTGAATCAAATATTATTCATGAAGTTGAAGAATTTGACGAGAATGAAATCGATGATGATGAAGAACAAGAAGAAGAAGGAGGTGATCCTGTTAATCGAAGTGAATCAGACAAAAGATCGGGTAATAAACGATTCGATAATCATGCTAAACTATCATCATCAGTTAATAATAATTCAATAAATCAATATAATGAATCGAATATGAGTGAAATTAGTGATACATCTGTTGATGCAATTATGGATGATGATGAGGTTGCTGCTGATGGTGGTGTTGGTCCCGGAGATGATGAAGCCGGTGATCCTCACAGCAGTAATGAATTAAATAAATACGGGAAGGAAATTGGTAGAAAGTATCAGAATTCAAATGGACTTGCCAAAAATTTTCTCATGCAAACCACTCGTGTTTATGATCAGTTGAATAGAAATTATAGTCTTTCAAATAAACCATTAACTTATCTATCCATGAATAAAGATGTTCACAGGAATAATATATATAACAACAATAACAATATGTATATATCTAATAATAATAATAATAATAATAATGAAGTACCCAAAACCTCTGACCATGATCTGGTAAGTTATTTACCTTTTTCCTTTTATATAATTCACGTAAGAGATATTATTATTATTCTCTTGAGGACTTCAGCTGACTGGTCTTAGCAGAGGACTTTTCACAGATGTACACTATTTCAAGTTGGACCACTCTCCCTCCATGTATCATACACTGATGGACTTAACCCTAACTCACTTCAGAAAACACAGGGATTGACTTGCTACCACCAGGGAATAATCTTGCTGACTTTGAATATGAAGACGATATAGTCCTTCTGGGCGAGGATGCTAACAAAGCCGAGCAGAGTCTTCTGAACACCTTGAGAAGCAGCAATCTACGAATGTTTGGCATGCGATTCGCTACTGCTGCCAAATGCAAGATGATGTTACAGGACTGGACTACGCTGACTCCTAGTTTAGAAATAGGGAGTGAAGTGGTTGGTGGAGCACGTTGACCGCTTCACTTATTTAGGAAGTTGCACATCAGCCAGTGCCAAAGGGTTGATCAATGACGAAATCTCCGCACGGATACGGAAGGCTAGTTTCGCATATGCCAGTTTACGCCGTCTCTGGCGTAGACGTGATATCCGACTGGCTATCGACCAAAGGGCGGGTGTACTGCTTAGCAATCCGCTCCGTCCTCCTTTATGGCTGGCTGTGAGACCTGGCCAATGAGAGAGGAAGACATGAAAAGATTAGCTGTCTTTGATCATAGGTGTCTGCGTTCTCTCTCTCTCTCATGTGAAGTGGTATAATAAGGTGAGCAATATTGAGGTGAGGCATTGGTCGAGTGCTAGATAAGGAGGGGGAATCCATCGACGAGGTTGTGAAATTACATCGACTGAGATGGTTAGGACATGTGTTACGTATCCCTAGTCATCGCCTCCCTCGACCTACGGGCAATGTTAGCTGACTGGCGTAGGGTCAGGTTGGAAAAGAGCTAGCCAGTGGTGGTCAAACCAAAACATTGCTTCATCAGTCAATGAAATCTACAACAGTTAGTTTAAGCCAGTCGCGTAGGAAGGTGTAGACTTCCTGACTAGTTGGGGTCCTCGGGACGGTAAAAACCAATGGCTGGAAACTATTGGTGATATGGCTCAAACTTATCGTTCTGAATGGCTGGCCCGTGCAGATGCATCCACTCCTTGTGACTTATGATTTCCAATGAAACTACATTGTTTTTCGTAATTACTATTCCTTTGTCTCACACTTCTGTTTACTGTCTCTATGATGCATTTCTTCTACTTTCTTCTCTTGGTTTGTGTACTACATGGAGGGAGTGTGGCGACTTAAACTGTCGCACATCGGTGCGAAGTTCTATGTCAAAAACAGACAGATCACACAAAGCAAGAGAAGAGAGCAAACAGAGGTTCATCAAAGGAGAGATAATAAACGCAAGTCTGAGTGAGGGAAAAGGAATTCCAGTAATATAGAAGAACAATAGAATTTATTGGATGACATGAAAAATGACAAAGAGTGAATGCATTTGTGCCAGTCATTGAGGACAATGATTTTGAGTTATATTAGAAATACTCTGCAGCCTTCGTTGGTTCTTACCACCTCGAAAACTCCAACCAGGAAGCCTACACCTCTTTAGGTGACTAAAACTAACCATGCAAAAACTTCATGCACTGATGTCGGGTTTTGGTTTGATCAACTCTAACTCTTTTCCTCCGACCTGAACCATCCTATATATAGGCTAACATTTTCAACCGAGGTAGGTGATGTCTCCGGGGGGGGTGGGGGCAGCACGTGTCCCAGCCATCTCATTCAATTCACCTTCATAATATCATCTGTCGACTTACTCTCATCATCCGGTACTATATGTTTATCCTCAGTACGACTCATCTTGTCATACTATCTAACAAGGGAGATAAATAGAAGGCAGATACCTATAATCAAGGGCAGCTAATCGGCCTTTTCCACTTTCAATGGCCACGTCTCGCTCATATAGCCATAAAGGAGTAGAACGGAGCAAACTGCTGGTGTGCAGTACACACGTCCTTCTGTCGATTGCCAGCCAGCCGAATATCACGTCTACTAAGCGAGACATGGGGTAAGTTGGCAGGCAAATAAAAAACTAGCCTTATGTATCCATGCTGAGATTTCGTCAGCGATCAATCAGTCTGTTGACGCTGGTCAACACGCCCTACCACTTCATTCCCAATCTTTAGGTTCTGAGTCAATGTATTCCAAACTTGTATCCTTATCTTACATTTGAGGGCTTCAGTAGCATATCACCATTCCACTCCTTTCTTTGAAGTCTTTTTCAGCTGTCTCCACGATCGCCCATAAGCTAACATTTCCTCCTTACAGGATTTCTATCATATAATCACCGCCTATTCGGGTTCCACTCAAGTGCTATCCTGGTGCTTATGTCCAATCTGTCTTAATTTACCTCTTCATATTTTTAGACACTGAATTCTTGGTTGTTTCCTTGACAGAATTTCCTACAGCTTATCCTTCCTTTTTATTTGATCTTCATCATCGAATGAAGGAGGCAGACACTGGTGAAGGTCTTCAGTGGACTGTTTTTCATGATACGTACATGTCTATGAAACAGTGACTTCAGATTTATATTGCAAGTTCGGATTATGTTCCCTTATACTGAAAGTATTAGATTTCTACACAGATTTTAGAATAATGAATGTATATCTTGCCTCTCTGATCCTGATTGGCTTTGACATCTTGATCCGTGTCACTGTCTGAGTTTGAAAATGCACTAGGTAGAACTGTAGAAGCTGAAATCCCTTTTGATTGACTCTTGTACACAACAATGGGAACAAAGCGAAATTAATTGAAAATTAATTTGAAAAATAACAATAAGCGGAACAATGTAGAAAAAATCTTTTGTTGTCGGATGTGATTTACAAACTTTTCCAAGCTATCAATTCGTTTATAATGCTTTAAACTTGTTGTGTTATCCTAGTGATAAACGGATATCCATTTTTATTCAGTATACAAACCTAAAACATTATGTTATTCGCTTAATAATATCAACCATAGGAATCCAGGTCACACGTTTTGTCCTGTTCAATATGCGTCATCGGGATGTACCGGCCTCTTTCAAGACTCCTAATGGAAACACAATCAATCAGATAACATTGTATTAACCTGAGGGTATCATTGGAGTGTTCAAATTAGGAACCAACATGTCAGCAGAAAATTAACCAATCGATAATTTCAACAACATACAATGGACTTTCATATCGAAATTAATACAGGAAGAATGTTTATCATTAGTATTTCCATTTTAGCTTAAAGTGTACTAGAAGAACCTCATAACGCTTATCTCTTTTCTCACTCTTCGTACTACTTCTTATCCCTCTACTCTCTGCGTGAAATATTTCAGTGTATTTAAGTGTCCCAAAGATGATGTATATATTTTTAATTTCCATTATCCTATGACCTGTGCGTCAGCCGTTCAGAGCTAGAATGTTCGCTTACTACGCATGCGATGCTGGGGTTCGATCCCCAGTCAGTTCGTGATATATACGGCGCAACAATCAGAGAATTTCCAGAAGTTGGAATCTATGTACTGGCCATTGAATAGGGTCCAAGTAGCTGAATGGTTTGTCTACGAGTCGGCCTCGTAATCGGAAGGTCCTGGGTTCGAACCCCCTGCGGTGGATGCATACTACTTGTGGGTTCCAGAGTAGGACGAAATATCTGTTTAGTACTCCCTGTTGGTTTTCCAATGGTTCTCATATTTTTTTTATTTTCCTTCATTTTCCCCAGTGGAACATAGGGCTTCAAGTTAGTGGCTTGAAGTTTCTGTAGTAGTGCTTAGTTTTACAGGATGAGGTTGCTAGCCTCATGCCCAACCTTTCCTCTTTACCAGAATTATTTCTGGCTTAGCGAGGTAAAGGAGTGCGTCTGTGGCTGTGGATCGAACCCCGGACCATGTGCATGGTCGACGAGCGTCCTAACCGCTATGCCACCGATGCAGTCGAATCCCTACAAACCAACATTTAACAGTTTGAAACATCAAATAACAACAAAGAAGGAAGGAAGTAGCAGGACTAACCTGAACACAAAACTACAAAAAGAGAAGACGTCTTTTTAGATGAATGAGATTCATTTTACTTTCAAAAACACTAAATCATGATTAAATTTATCTGAAGTTTATTTAATAAAACAAAATTTATAATCGATATGGGAAAATTTGTCACTTTATATACTCAGCTATACAGAAATGCCATTTGTTACACGACAAAAGTCAATCTCACTCTGAAGTATGCATGGGAACAAATAAAATTTTAAAAAATTTAAATTACACTTGATACACCCTAGTGTAATTGATTGATTTAGATTTATTGTTTATGAGAATATTTTTTCACGCCTGAGAAGTGATACTTGAGTATGAGAGGAGGCATAGTTTACAAATTTTCACGCTAACATCAATCCCCTATTATACAAGGACACTAGAGATTTATTTCATTCTGCCTTGAGACTGACTGACCATTCAGCAGTGCGTAGTCACAACTATCCAACACTACTAGCAGCAATCGAGCTCAAACTCCTCAAGTTCTCAAGTGAGCTTGTAAATAATATCATTCGCAGTAGCTTGAGTTCAGTTTCGTATAGTTTAAACCCTTGGCTGATCGTGGTTCAGTTTGCAATTTATTTCAATTCAGTGGCTGACTGAATGGCTACCAGCAGGTTCACCTCATAATTTGAAGGTTATGGGCTGAATCTCTTGCGAGATCGTGGAGCCGTGTCTCAACACCTTTTAGCAATCGACTTCCAACCAATAAGGTCTTGGGTTCGAATCTCACTCCGTCTACTTTAACCTTCTTTCGTATCATCATCCCTCATGCAACAAGTGTGACTGACAGCCCAGTACTGGGTAACTCAGTTCGAACAAACTAATCTTGCGAGATTGTAGGTATACACTCCTGAAAAGTCACAAACTAGGATAGAAAAAGCTTCCTTGACCTCCTTGGTTCTCAGTAATTCGCTAACTGTGATGTCAGTCCATGACTTCCTTTCTACATTATATTGACTGTGTACACTTACCA